CTGCTATTCATAAGGTTTTCAATTACTAAATATTCAGAAGTAGTCTGTCTCTCCTTCTTCCTAATCTGTCTTTGTCTGAAAGCTCAGCTGAAACCTGTCCACCATGAGTATACCCTGCTGGTATTTAAAATACCCGTGGCATAGCTTCCAGAATCACAGCAACTCACAAGCCACCACAACATGACAAACTGACAGAAGAGAATAGAGAGATTTACTTCAAGGAAAAGGCTCATGCAGTTGTGAGGGCTGGCAAGTCAGATCTGTCCGTTCAATGGTTGACTGGTGTTTGGAGGTTATCCAAACCAAAATCTGAAGTTCAGGAGGTAAGTCAGAGACTTCTGCTGGCTGAGTGCCAAGAGCAGGTGGTCAGGTGATGAGAAGAATGCAAGCAGAAGAGTTGTTGTTGTTGTTGTTAACAGTTGGCCATCGAGTTGGTTCCGACCCATAGTGACCCTGTATAGGGTTTCCAAGGAGCTGCTGGTAAGCTTGAACCGCCGACCTTGTGGTTCAAACAGCTTTGCAGTCTGGCACATTAACCCACAGCGCCACACCAGGACTCCAGAGGAAGAGTGAGCATTGCCAAGCATTCGTTTACATACTGGAGGCAGGCCACACCCCCAAAGAAACACCCCTCTCAACTTATTGGCAGCTCACATCAAAATGGAAGGTAATTACACAGTGTCCTCCAGACCACTGTGAAGAGTACACCAAGGACTTTCAGAAGAAACAAATCCGTCTAGGAAGGACAGCCAGAAAACTCCTTAGAAACAAAAATGATGAACCTTTGTCTCATGTACTTTGTAAGTGTCATCAGGAAGGATCAGTCCCTGGAGAAGGACATCATGCTTGGTGAAGAGTCAGCAAAAAAAAAAAAAGGAAGACCCTTAATGAGACGAATGGACACCATAGCTACAACAATGGGCTCAAACAAGAGCCACTGTGAGGCTGATACAGGACTGGGCAGTGCTTCGTTCTGCCGTACACAGGGTCGCTATGAGTTGGAAACAACTCAGTGGCACCAAACAGCCACGATAGCCAAACGACAGAGGATCATAGCCCAGTCCAGTTAACAAATAACATTTACTGTCACAGATTCTTAGGAATAAAGTTGTTTAGACATAGAGGTACTGATCCTTGTATAGAGATATCCTTTGGATTTTTCTTGTAGCAATAATACAAACTGATTCTTTTTATGAAGAAAATAATGGCAATAGATGGGAAAGAGAAAAACAAAAGAAACATCTGTCCTGAAAGTGTCTGAGCCCCACAGAGGGGACCCCATACCAACCAGACAGCCTGCGCCCCCTAGTGTCCAACTCTCCCAGCTGTTAGGACAAATGCTTGCCTTTGGTCTGGGCTGTTGTCTGAGAGCGCTCCACTTGGGAGGAGTTTTCACAAAAGGAGCGCTCTCTCTCCATCCTTCCATGGAAGCAAGGAGCCCCTCTGTGGGGTGGCATGGCCGCCAGGCCCACAGACCAATCAGCTGTGGTTTGAGACCACTCTGGATCCCAGGAGTAGCTGTGTTAAGTGCCATTGAGTTGGTTCCAATTCTGACTGATTCTGTGTAGGGCTTCCGAGGAACAGCTGGTGGGTTTGAACCTGTGTTTAGCATTCCAGTGCTTATCCTGTAGCGACACACAAGACTCAAGTCCTGCAGTTGCTTTTTCAAAGGTTGACTTTGGGCCCATCCGCCTTGTGATTGGCTCTGCCTCTTAGCCTTATGTTCCTGTGGTGTCCGTATACACCCAGGGGTGTGGGGAAGGCACCCTCTGTTCTGTTTAGCACCCCAGACACCAGTGTTAACGGTTCGGGTCTTTGTGCTTTACAGCCCCAGAAACACCGCTGGATTGCGAGGTGTCTCTGTGGTCATCGTGGGGACTGTGCGCAGGGAGCTGTGGGAAGCTGGGAGCCAAGAGCAGAACTCTCTATGTCCGCATGCAGCCCGCCAACAACGGGACCCCCTGTCCCGAGCTGGAGGAGGAGGACGAGTGCACCCCAGACAACTGTGTCTAAGATGCACCTGCAGACCCTTGGGCCCCTGCGGGCAGGTCAGGCTGCGAGTGGACGACTCTCTGGTGGTCTGGGTCTGGGGTCTCAGCGGATCCTTACAGTGAGCTTACAGCAGGCTGGCCTTACTGGGCCTGAAGTGCTAGTCACATTCCTGCACCCTGTGGGGTCTTCCTGACTGAGGTTAAAGACCCAGGTGGGACCCATTCTCTGTGCACCCATTCTCTGTGCCTGCTGTGCCCTCTAGTGGCAGGGTGGGGAATCACAGCATCCTCTAGTGAAAGAAAGGAGCTTTGGTAGCGTAGTGGTTACCAATCGGGCTGCGAACCTTAAGGTCAACGGTTCGAAACTACCAGCTGCTCCGCGGGAGAAAGATGAGGCTTTCTACTCCCGTAAAGATTTACACCCTCGGAAACCCTATACAGGGTCGCTATGGGTCAGAACCGACTCGATGGCACATAACAACAACAACAACCAGTGAAAGAGACGGGTATCACAGGACCCTCCAATGGAAAGAAGGTGGCATTACAGTGCCCCCTAGTGACATCATGGGGCATCACAGGGCTCTCTAGTGTCAGGATGGGGCAATACAGGGCCCTCAGTGACCTCTAGTGTCAGGGAGGGGTGTTACCGGACCCTCTAGTGGACGGACGGAGCATCCCAGGGCCCTTTGTGACCTCTGATAGCAGGGTGCAGCATTGCAGGGCCCTCTAACAGCTGGTGGTAGTGGTGGTGGTGGTGTGAGAGGAGTCAGTTCCAACTCATATTGACCCAGCATAGGGTGTTCGAGGCTACAAATCTTTATAGGGCTTGACTTTTGCTTATGGTTGTAGCTACTCAAAAATTCCAACCAAGGGGGAAGGAGTCTCACATCAAGGATCCAGGTTATCCCCTCAATACACAGGGTTGATACGGCCGGGCAACTTAGACATTAGCTATATAAAAGGGGGGCTATAAAGACACCAAGTGGCTGGCTTACAAGTTTTCAAAAGTGTACTTAGTTTCAGAGCAAGGGTAGTGGGATAGAAGCCCCACTGAATAGTTTTCCTCTTGTCTGGATGGGTCTGGTGAAAGTGGATGGGGGAGGATGGGAATAGGATTCTTCTGATTCAATCGTGAGTAACTGTTATCACGACTAATTGCGATTGTCACAACTGTAAACTATAAACGTAGACGGGGGGGGAGGGGGGATTAGATAATCTTACAGTCCAGGGACAGAGGATCCTAGGATCATCAAGGAAGAAGAGCATGAGTGGAATGTAGGACCATATCCAGAGAAGCAGCGACACCAGATATGGAGGTAGACATGGGGACATGGAGAGATAGAGCAGCTGAGGAATTTAGACTCATGGAAAGAGAAAAGCTGAGTGCCGGTGGGTGAGAGGCTGACTTGCAAAATGTGCCCTTTGGTAGTTTAAACAACAAATATTTTCTGTACATTAAAAAAGAGGGGAGGGGAATAGAGACAAAAACATTAACCAATGGTGCATGGAGGGGATTGTAATAATGAAAATGAAACAAAATGCAATTGGTTGAGTGCAAAACTGATGATCTGCCATGTAAATTATCACTCAATTCACAACAAAATTGTTATTAAAAAAATAAAGATCACACCTTAAAAAAAAAGTCTGAATTATTTTGTTTTAATCTTTAAGGGAGCAAGAAGCCTCATCTTACTCCCATGGAATGATTGGTAGTTTCAAACTGCTGACCTTAGGGTTAGCAGCCTGACTCGTAACCACTATGCTACCAGAGCTCTGTAATGAAACCATAGAAACGAATCTTAAACTTCAAAATGATCACAAATAAAGCAGTGACAATTCTTCAGGTACATAAATATAGCACCATTTTATTGGTCCATACCCAAATTTTCTTTGTAGGATAAAAAGTTACTTTGCTCAAAAATTGAACATATTCAGAAACTAAAGTAGAAAGCAAATCTACCTTTGTCAGCTCTGTTGTTGCTATTGTTAAGTGCCGTCGAGTCACTTCCAACTTGTAGCGAATCTGCGTAGGGTTTTTGAGGAAAGGCTGGTGGGTTTGAGCCACTGACTTTGAGGTTAACAGTCCAGTGCTTATGCTCATAGGCTCTGGTGGTGGTCATGGTGTGCCGTGGAGTTGGTTCCAACTCACCCTTGTATAGGGGGATTTCCAAGCCTGTAAATCTTTACAGGAGCAGAAAGCTCCCATCTTTCTCCCACAAAATGACTGGTAGTTTCAAACTGCTGACCTTGGGGTTCGTAACCCACCTCATAACCGCTGAGCTTCCGGAGCTCCTTTGATAGGCTTTGGGGAGGATACATTTTAAGGGTGATTACTGCACAGATACGAGGGCGTTGATGGTTCCACGGGAGGGTTCTCCATGTGGGAGACCCAGGTTCGACAATGCACATCATGATGCTTGAGTGTTGCTGTACTGAGTAATGGGTATCAGGGGAGCTTCCAGACCAAGATAGATTAAGAAGATTTACCTGGCAATCTAGCCAGTGAAAATGGTATGAATCCCAATAGTCCAGTCCTATGGTGCATAGGGTCACCACGAATTGGGGGCCAACTCCACAGAAGCTAACAATAGCAACTCTATATCATTGTTGTTAAGTAGCAACCCTACACACACTGTCAGAAAAAGGTTGTATGCAGTAACACAATACACAACTGAGAATGCTTCTTATGAAAAACAAACTGGACAATCTTTTTCCCAATCCAGTATCACATTTTTCTAAAAAAGATAGTTGGGTTTCAGAGAGAAAATCATGGAGGTTTGAGTAGGAATACGTAGGCAAGGGAGGATTTCTGCTACCTCGTGGGTTTGGGTCTAACTTGTTTACATTCACCAAGCATCATGGGTAATTCCAAACACAGAAAGAATAACCATCGCAGACAAAGGTGGCACTTCCAGTCTTTGTGTGGCAGTGTTTGCCCAGGCTGGCCATTTCCAGGTGGCTCCCACCAGCCCTCTTGTTAGGGACCCTTTAGTCTTTCACCCACCACATCTAAATCTTACAATAGACCTCAAAGAGGGAGGCAGCTGCGTGCATTCGGTAGAAAATAGAAAAGGGCATGGCCAGGTTGACCACAATTATCCAAGGTTCAAAGCCAAAGACAATCTCTTCCAATCCATTGTCGTACTCTGGGCGGCAGCCAAAAGCGGGGGGTATCCAAAGCTGTAAGAGAAGAGGAAACAGTACCATCATGGTCCCTAGAAAACACCATCTGTCCCAGCACCCCGGCACCAGGTGAGCTGACCCAGTGAGACTCAGTCACAGCTGCTGAAGAGGTGCACAGTGAATGACAGTGATCTCTGCAGTTCACAGCGTGCCCCATCTCCACTAGCCTGTCACATGCACTGAGTCCACCGGGGCCTCCTGTCTCCCTTATCCACCAAAGCAATCAGTCCTGAATGGTCGCTTCCAAATCCATCCAGCTCTCTCCATCACCTTGGTCCAGACCCGTGAACCCACAGGAACGAATGCAAGGGCCCCCAAGCACCCCTCCTCTACCAGGAGCTGCATCTGATGAAACAAACACACACATACACACTTGCGCAATGACTGAAGTATCTCATCGCTCCCCTGCTCATAACTCGCCCATGGCTCTCCATTCCTTCAGAAGAAAGTCTGCGGTGATCTGACCCCACTCATTCACTTCACCCTGCTCCCTCCTCACACTCTTCCATACAGCCTCCCCAGACATCATCCCCCAAATGTGCCTACAGCTTCCAAGACCCTCTGCTCCTTCATTGCCCTCTGTTGAGAACGCCACACCTTTCTTCCCAGTCCTGAGACAACACCACTTCCAGGAAGGCCTCCTGGATCTAACAGATCTGAGGGGGATCTGCTGCCATTTTCTTATCACCCCCAGATTCCCTCTTTCATCACTGCTAGTAACAGCAGTCCCCATGGCAGTCCAGAGCCAAGATGCCCAATCTTTGGACCTCCAGCACAGAATAAGGACCTCGTTAAGATAAATAAATGGGAGATCTGCAAGGCACCCCCATTTTACAGGTGGGTAACTTTGTTTGCTGGAAGCAAAGAGAACTTGAAATACTCATTAATGAAGATCAAAGACCACAGCCTTCAGTATGAATTGCACCTCAATGTAAAGAAAATAAAAATCCTTACCACTCGACCATCATGATAAATGGAAAAAAAAATTGAAGTTGTCAAAGATTTCATTTTTCTTGGATTCACCATCAGCATTTAGAGAAGAGGAGTCAAGAATGCTGTATTGCATTAGGCAAATCTGCTATAAAAGACCTCTTTTAAGTGTCAAGAGCAAAGGTATCAGTTTGAGGACTATAGTGTGCCTGACCCAAGCCATGGTATTTTCAATCATCTCATATGCATGTGAAAGTTGGACAATGAATAAGGAAACCATAGAATAAATTATGAATTTGAATTATGGCAAAGAATATTGAAAGTACTATGGACTGCCAGAAGAACAAACCAAGTCTGTCTTGGAAGAAGTACAGCAGAATGTTCCTTAGAAATGAGAATGGTTAAGACTTCGTCTCTCATTCTTTGGACATATTGTCAGGAGGGACCAGTCCTTAGAGATGGACATCATGCTTGGTATAGTGGAGGGTCAGTGGAAAAGAGGAAGACCCCTAATGAGATGGATTGGCTGCAGCAATGGTCTCAAGCGTAACAATTGTGAGGATCACGCGGGACCGGTCAGTGATTCGTCCTGTTGTACACGGGGTCGCTATGAGTCGGAACTGACTTGACGACAATTAACAACCTGGGGCTCAGCGTGGAAAGGTAACTTTCTCAAGGCCGCACAGGAAGCTCTGGGCCTCTTTGACCCAGCCCTAGTGCCCTCTCCCTGTCTGTTCATGGCCAGCTAAGGAAACAGGCACAGAGGGGTGACCATGTGCTGCCTGGGCTGGGGCAGAGCTGGAGACTGGGACTCCAGTGTTCTTTCAGGTCTGCACCATACACCAGCCTGCAGAGCCAGCAATCTGTTTCATTAAGGCTGCTCAGCGAGGACATTTGCCATCCCGTGTGCCAACATGACTGTCCCCAAGGCTCCACCCAGCTCCTGGGCCGGCACACCATGACTGAGAGATCCCAGTGTCTGAGCAGTGAAGGCCACTTGGTTACCACATGTGAGTTCTGTGGTCTTGTTTCTGGCTTGCATCAACATCACCCAGACCACACCACTACTTTAACCTCTCCAAGCCTCATTTTTCTCATTTATAAAATGGACATGCTAACTCCTGTCTCATTCCAAATGTAGAACGTACGAGCCAAAATAACCATGGAAACCAAGTCGATTGTAATTCACGGTGTGTCCCCTGCCTGACCTGGGTCAGAGCAGACATGCTCCATAGTTGTTTCTTGGCAGACTGCCAGGACTTTCTTCTGCGGTGCTGCTGGGTAGGTTTAAGCCAACAACCTTTAGGCTAGCGGTCAATCACAAACCACTTGTGTCACCCAGACTCCTTAAAGGTAAGAATTGTTGTTATTGTTGCTAGGCACAGTTGGGTTTATTCTGACCGATGGGGAGCCCATAGCGTATTCTTGGCTGCAATCTTTACAATGTAGATTACCAGGGCTTTCTTACCTGTGGAGCACCTGGATGAGTTTGAACTCCCAACCTTTCTGTGATCAGCCAAGCACTTAACTGTTGCACCACCAATGCTCCCTGAGGTAAGAATCTTCACCTATATTCTTATTGATTTTTAAGACCAAAATGAGAACTAAGTTTGTAAACCTGAAACAATGGCCCAATGGCTCACCTTTCTCAATATCCCTGTCCTAGTCCCTCTCCCTTTGTTGAGGTTGTTAGTGGTTGTCAAGTCAGCCCCAACTCACAGTGTCCCCATGCCAATGGGATGGGACCCAGTGATCCACAGAGCTGTCGGTGACTGACTTTCAGAAGTATATCAGCAGCCAGGCCTTTCTTCCTAGTCTGTCCTGAAACCTGTTGAGCATCCTAGCAGTACACGAGCCTCCACTGAGAAGACCAGTAATGGCTGTACACGAAGCGCGTGACTCAGAAATTGAAACCGGGTCTCGTGCATAAAAAGAAAGTCCAGCTCAGTGTAACCCAGCTGATTCTCACTCATAGCACCCTATGGGACAAAGTAGAACTGCTCCTTATGGTTTCGCAGGCTATAGAATCTTTATGAGAGCAGATAGCCTCATCTTTTCCCAAGGAATGGCTGGTGGGTTTGAACTGCTGACCCTTGTGGTGAGCAGCCCAGTGCTTAACCCACGGTGCCTCCAGGACTCCTTAGGTCTCTTGCATGGAAGACAAGGATTCTGAACCACCACTGTCCTGCCTCCTCCTTTGCCGATGCTGTTGAGTGCTGTCGTGTTGATTCCCACTCACAGTGACCCTATAGGATTTTTCCTAAGCTGTGGCACTGTAGACGAAGCACTGGACTGATAACGGAAAGGTCAGTGGTTCAAACCCACCAGTCACCCCTCGGAAATCCTATAGAGTCGCCATGCGTCAGGACCAACTCAACGGCACACCACAACAATGATCTTTACCAGAAAAGAGCAGTTGGTGGGTTCGAACCACCAACCTTTCCGTTACCAGCCAAGTGCTTTAACCATGACACTCTTAGGGTTCCTGTTGTTGATGTTGTGTGCCGTGGAGTCGATTCTGACCCACAGTGGCCCAGTGGAGGGTTTCCAAGGCTGTAAATCTTTACGGGAGTAGAAAGCCTCATCTTTCTCCTGAAGGCATTCTTCAGGGCTGGGTCCTAGGCTCATTGCTGTTCACTCTGCAGATGTGTGCATGTTTCTCCACTCCCTAGTGACCCCTGGATACCCCCATCTCCCTGGCCCCAGGTCTTTGGGGATCCCCTTCCCTTAAGCATGGGTTGCACCTAACCACACAGAAGCAGCTGTGGCTTTTCAGAACTTGCAGAAAAGAAGTATTCGTTGAGGCTCGAACAAGGCAGGAGTTAGGGACCATCGAAAATTCTTACATAATGTACAATTGACCTGTGGAAAACACAGCTTTGAGCTATGCAGGCCTCTTTAGACATGATTTTTTTTTTTCCCCATCCTGGTAGCTTAGTGGGTTACCAGTTGGATTTTAACAACAAGATGAGCAATTCAAATCTATAAGCTGCTCTGCAGGAGAAAGATGAGGCTTTCTGCTCCAGCAAAGTGTAGATTCCTGATGTGTCGCTGTAGAATCAGCAATAGATAGTGAACCACAAGGTCGGCGGTTCAAACCCACCAACTGCTCTTCAGATCACTATGAGTCCGAAACCACTGGACGACACTTAACAATGACAGCAACGTTACATTGAGCTCAAGCGTTGCTTAAAATGCCAGGATGTTCATCATCCCACAAGAGCAGTTTGCCTCTCCCCCCTCTATCCCCCTCACTGGATAGACATCCGCTCACTCAGAGATCAGCATATCAATGATCAGCATATCAATGACGATGAGGCTGGTAGTGGACAGTATGTGGAAACGCCACACTTACATGGACTGAAGGGGTCACTCATCATCTTACCTCGTGGTACCAAAGTTTGCTTCTCCTCCTTTGTACCAAACCTGGCATCCTTCCTCTATTGTTGTAGTTAGGTGCCATGGAGTCAGTACTGACTCATAGAGACCTCATGCACAACAGAACGAAACACTGCCTGATCCTGGGCCAACCTCACTACTGTTGCCACGCTTGAGTCCATCGATGCTGCCACTTGGCCAATCCATCTCACTGGGGGTCTTCCTCTTTTTCTCTGACCCTCCACCTTACCAAACAGGATATCCTTCTCCAGCGACTGGTACGTCCTGACAATATGTCCAAAGTATGAGAGACAAAGTTTGGCCATCTTGGTCTCCAAGGAGCACTCTGGCTGCACTTCTTCCAAAATGGATCTCTTGGTTCTTTTGGCAGCCCATGGCACTTTCAATATTCTCCTCCAACACCGTAACTCAAAAGCATCAATTCTTCTATGGTCTTCCTTATTCACTGTCCAGCTTTCACATGCATATGAGGTTATTGAAAATACCGTGGCTTGAAAAGACAACACACACAGTGCTTTGGGGTCCTTTTATTTCTTCTCTCCATCTCTACTGTTGCAGGTTGCATTGCGTTCTCAAAAAGATTCGCTGAAATCCAACCAGTAAGATGGACTCTTGGCTCAGGGAAGGTAGGAAATACGGTCTTTGCAGATATAAACCAAGTTATGAAACCCCACTGCCACCGAGCCACTTTTAACTCATAGCAGCCCTGTATAAAGATTTCCCAGAGTGTACATCGTTATGAGCAGCCAGCCTCATCTTTCTCCAATGCAGCAGCTGGTGGGTTTGAATCACCAACCTTCTGGTTAGCAGCTCAGCAATGAGGTCAGACTACATTAGCAGTGGCTGTCAGGTCCACCCTGGCTCCTGGAGACTCTGTGTGTGTCAGAGGAGGGCTGCACACCGCAGGGTTTTCAATGACTTCTGAAAGATGGTTGCTGGGTCTTCCTAACGAAGCTCTTCTGAGTAGATTCAAATCTCCCACCTTTCAGTTAGTAGCCAAGCATGCTAACTCTAAGGAGTATTAAGGGTTAATCTTGGTGTGGTGCTATAGGATAAACACTGGACTGGGTGAGGAGAACCTCAAGGTCAGTGGTTCAAACCCACCAGCTGCTCCTCGGAAACCCTACACAGGATCTTAATGAGTCAGAACTGACTTGATGGCGCATGACAACAACATGATGGACCCTCATCTAATGACAGATGTCCTCATACAAACACAAAATTTGGACACAGAGCCAGACATACATGGGAAGAAGGCCACATGAAGATAGAGGCAGAGACGGACATGCTGCCAAGGTCTGCTGGCCACCATTAGAAACTGAATGAAGGAGTTGTTCTGAGTGCCTCTGGGCAGAACACAGCCCTGCTGGAGCCTCAACTTCAACTTCTACCCTCCAGAACAGTGAGAGAAGAAAGTTGTGTTGTCTTGTCACCCAGTGTGTGGTCCTTTCCTATGGCAGCCCTAGTCTAGGAGCAAGTGTGGCCCGAATGCTCCTTAGAAGCCAGGATGGTGAGACTTCGTCTTTCATACTTTGGACCTGTTATCAGGAGGGACCAGTCCCCAGAGAAGGACATCCTGCTTGGTAAAGTGAAGGACTAGCGGAAAAGAGGAAGACCCCCAATGAGATGGATTGGCATAATGGCTGCAATGATGGCCTCAAGCGTAGAAATGGTTGTGAGGATGGCGCGGGAGCAGGCAGTGTTCCTTCGGGTTGTAAGTGGAGTTGCTAGGAGTTGGGGCCAACTGGACACCACTCACCAACAACAGGAAACTAAAGAAGCAGACTCTGTCATGGCCTCAGCTCCCATCATTTCCTACTGGGGGGCCTACAGGTGCTTCTCTTCTGTTCTCTCAGCCTCTGGCCCTACCTCTCCCCATCCTTCCAGCCGCTATTGCTGTTACAGAGCCATCCTTCCAAGTACAGGTACAAACACAAGTAAGTGGAGAATGGCTCTCAGCATAGACTGAACTCCAGCCCAGCTTACCAAGAAGCCCTACCCAGGCCAGACCCCATCTAACTGGCCCCTCCCTCGTCTTTCCCACTCTGCTGTCTTCTAATCCTAATAACTGCTCCAAATACACTCCAAGGTACCTCTTGCCTCCGTGCCTTTGCGCATAATATGCCCTCTGCCCAACATGCTGTTCCCTGCATGGAACACCCTGTGGAATGTTAACCGCTCCTTGAGGTTTAAGCAGAAATACTGGGTGGCTAACTCTACAGTCAGCCCTTTTCTCCCTTTCTGTCCTCTACCAGAGAGGTGGAAAAACAAAAACTATCCTACTTTCCCAGCCTCCCTTGCAGCTAGGGTGGCCAAGTGGCATGGCCGTGGCCAATGAGCCTTAAGAATTCTTCTGATCTTCTGTGCCAGGTTTTACTTTCCCAGTTAAAGACTAAGGCATCGTCTGACACCATTCCTTCTCTTCTTCCTGCCTTGGACCCAGACGTGATGCCTGGTAGCACATCAAGGATGGTAGAGTGAAGAGACGTGCAGCATCCTGAATCTTTGGCAATGCAGCTTTGCTGCCAGACAAGCCCAGAGCAACCAAACTCCAGAATTCTTATGAGCTCGATCATTAAATGTCTTTAAGACTTAAGACACTAGGGGCTGGTACAGATGGTTTGCCAACCTACTAATCATAAACTTAGCAGTTCGAATCCATGCAGCGGTGTAGCAGAAAAAGGGTCCAGCAATCTATTTCTGTCAGATCCCTCATTGAAAACCCTACAGGGCAGCTCCACTCACCATGAGTGAGTCCACTCCATGGCACTGAGTTAGGGGGTCTGCCAGTTTGGTCACGTTTTCTATCACTTCAGCCCAAAGCCCTCCTCACTGACACTGGGACTCCTCTGAAGCACCCCTTCCCACTGAAGTTCCTCCCTAGATCCATGTTCCTATCACTCCCCGCACACACCTCAACCCCAGAACTCGGCATACTCACTGTACACGTCACATTTCCCCCTGGTTCCTCTCCCCAACTATGTTGTTGTTGTTGTTATTGTTGTTAGTTGTGTAGAGCTCATTGCAACCCAATACGTGCAGACAGAGCCACGCTTCTTATGGCTTTCAAGGCCAAGACCTTTCTAAAGTGGATGGCCAGGCTTGTCTTCCAAGGCACCACTGGGTGGGTTCGAACCGTCCACTTTTAGGCTAATAGCTGAGTATTTAATCATTCATACTATACTGCCATATGCTGTGGCCCTTTTTCTATATCTGTAGCTTTTGGTTGCAAATTGGGGGCAGGCTTATGGATCAGATCATCAGTTTCGCATTCGCCAACCCGCACGCATTGCATTTCATCTAGTCCATGGTGGTCCCTCAACGCACCATCACATAGCTGTCTGCAGTCCCTGTTTCCAGACCTCCTTCCCTAACCCTTCTGAACGTTGCCCTTCTGATCTCAAATGCTTGATTCTTCTAAGGTGTGCGTAGCTCACTAGTGTTGCTGTTCTCCCCATAGACCTGTGTATGGTTTCGCTGAGATCGGAACCAGGGGAGTGAGGTCAGTCCCAGACTTGCACGGTGTACTGTGATCTTTCTGAGGAAAGAGACACCGTCTTCTCACCTTTCATCATTAGTACCCAGTCCTGTCCCTGACAAACAGCAGGTACCCAACAGTATGTGAGTGTGTAGAATATTGTAGAATATATCTTTATGTTCTAGCCTCATTTGTTTACTTTGATGTTGTTGTTAAGTGTTGTCAGATTGATTCTGACCCATAGCGACCCTGTATAGAGTTTCCAAGGAGGAAACCACTGACTTTGTGGTTCAAACTGACTTTGCAGTCCAGCACATTAACCTACACAGCCATACCAGGACTCCTAAAACTGTTCAGTGTTTCCAAGAGCAGCGGGTGGATTTGAACTGCTGACCTTGCATTTCCTAGTATAATGCTTATCCTACAGCACCACACCAGGGCTCTTTTTTAACTTTGTTGTTGTTAAGTGCCGTCGAGTCAGTTTCAACCCATAGCGACCCTGTACAGGGTTTCCGAGGGTGTAAATCTTTATGGGAGCAGAAAGCCTCATCTTTCTCCCGCGGAGCAGCTGGTAGTTTCGAACCGCTGACCTTAAGGTTCGCAGCCCAATTCGTAACCACTACGCTACCAGAGCTCCTTTTAACTTTACACTTATATTATTTTATTACAAACTCCTTCCACCTATTATTTGAAAAAGGCAAAAAAAAAAAAAGTAGATTAATTGATTTTAAAAGCAATTTGTTGATGTTAAGTGCCAAAGAGTCGACTCTGACTCAGAGTGACCCTGTACAGGATTTCAAGAGAGCGGCTGGTGAGTTTGAACCGCCAACCTTGTGATTCAAGCCAAACTTGTGATCCAGTACTTTATCCCACAACACCACCCCAGAACTCCTTAAACAGGAGCTTGAGACAAATTACCGAGATGTTGCAGAGGAACAAAAAGGCTGTGATGTTCCTGAGGACCTTCCTCTCTGTGCAGCCCTGCAAGAGGTGGGGGTGACAGGCTGGGCCCAGGGTCCCTTCCACACTCCCCTCCTCTTCCTCCTTGTCACCACCTTCTCTCAGACACAGGTTTCCATTGACAGCATGTAGCATCTGCCCATCATGGGGAGCCACCTCCCCGGCCACACTTGCACTCTTGAGGCAGGAAGGAGCCAAGGAGGTGGGGTCGCCATTGCAGACGGTGACCACCCGAAGGGTCCTGATGCCCTCCGAGAGCTTGTCGGGTTCCCGGTGGATGGACTCGATGATGAAGAGGTTCTGGATGTACTTCTCTACAATCACCAGGATGGAGTAGGGCAGGTTGTACCAGGTGTGGGGGGGACAGGTCTGTGCACAGAGGGTGGCCAAGATGGAACCCCAGGAAATGAGCCAGGAGCCGGAGGCCGTGCCCACCAAGAGGTCCACGTCCAGCTTGCGGGCTGGGTTCTTGGACTCATCAAGGGATTTTTCATTGATCCTGTGGATCCAGATGCCGGCCAGCCCCGCGGCCCCCATGAGCACAAGCAGGGAGATGGCATACAGGTAGAACATGAGGAGCGCCAACTCGCTCTTCGTCTTGGACCGTCCGATCTGAACCAGGTACACCACCACAACCCCAATGGTGGTGGCCAGCACGGTCAGGCCCAGGACCGAGCCCACCATGACCCCATTAAATTTGAACTGCATCTTCGGATGCTGATGGCTGTCAACTTTGCGTCCGATGTTCTTCCACAGGACATAGAGCATCGTAGAGGCCAGGATCTGGTACTCTATGTTGAAGGGGTACAGGTAGTAGATGCTGTGTGAGATGGCCGAGCAGAGAGTCGGGGGCGTGCAGTTACACTGGGGGGTGTGGTCGTCTAGGACTAGAGGAAGAAGCAGAGCACAGGGGGGCAGTCAGCATCTCAGTGAGAAAGAGGAGAAACTCCACACCAAGTGCAGAGTCTCAGTTCATGTATCACATCATAGCTAAATGGACAGGCACAGATTTTACCAAAAGAGCACCAAATGCATAAATCATGTTTTACTCACAATGTGGAAGAGTATCCATCCATTATAAACGGTCTGACAGAGATGTACTTACTAACTTGTGAAGGTGAGCTCAACATAGTGTTGAACAACAAAATCAGGTGGCCAAAGAGTGTGATTTTTTATAAATTATAAATTTTCATTATTATAAAAATTATTATTTTTATAATAATAGATAAATGGGTGGGTGGGTATGTAGGTAAGTAGACATATACATAGATAGTTGTTGTTGTTAAGTGCTGTCGAGTCACTGCTGACTCAGAGTGGCCCTGCACAGAACTTCTGAGAAGCAGCTGGTGGGTTTGAACTACCATTCTTGCAGTTAGCAGTCAAGTGATTATCCAACAGTGCCACACCAGGACACAGATAGATAGATAGATGGATGACTGATAGATCGATGATAGATAGACACATAGTTGATAATGATAGATACATACATACATACATAGGTAGATAGATAGATAGATAGATAGATAGATAGATAGATAGATAGATAGATGATTAATCAATAGATAATAGATTAGATAGATGACAGACACATACATAGATATGTATATAGATTGATAAATGATTGATCAATAGATGATAGATTAGATAGATGATAGATGATAAATACACACACAGATACATAGATACATACATAGACAGATAGATAGATGATTGGTCAATAGATGATAGAATACATAGATGATAGAATACATAGATGATAAATACATAGATAGCTAGATGATTGATCAATAGATGATAGATTAGATACATGATAAATACATAGATAGCTAGATAGACTGGCCCAAGTTTACACAGGCAGGATAGAACTGTTGCATGTTAGATCTCCACCCCCCAGCTGTCAGTGGGTCCCACTCTGATGGCTTGTTTGCTGCTGTGACTCTGGAAGGTATACCACTATATCAAATTCCAGCAGGGTCACCCATGGTGGACAGATTTCAGCAGAGCTTCCAGACTAAGACAGACTAGGAAGAAAGACTTGGTGATCTATTTCTGGAAATTAGTCAATGAAAATGTTAGGGATCCCAACAGAACATCATCTGACCTGCCTGCTTTGCACACATCCTTAGGAAGGATCAGAAGGGTCCATTGCTAGAGGAAGACACTGAGTGTGACAAATAGCTGCAACTATGGGCTCCAACATGCCTGCGACTGGGAGGGTGGTGCAGGGGCAGGCAACACTCTGTTCTGTTGTTCGTAAAGTCACCACAAGTCCAAGGCAATGCAATGGCAGCCAGCTAGCTATTCATTCTGCCTATCTGTCTGTCAATCATCCATCTGTCTATCCACCTGTCAATCATCCATCTATCTATCTACATGCCAATCATCTACCTATCTATCTATCTACATATCTGTCAATCATCTATCTACCTGTCAACCATCCAACTATCTATCTACCTATCTGTCAATCTACCTATCTGTCAATCATCTATCTAACTATCTATATCCCTTGTTGTTGTTGTTGTTAAGTGCTGTCAAGTCTATTCTGACCCATAGTGACCCTGTATAGGGTTTCCATGAAGCAGCTGGTGAGCTTGAACCACCGACCTTGCAGTTCAAACGACTTTGCAGTCTGATGTATTAGCCCACAGCGCCACACCAGGACTCCATCCCTATCTATCTGTAAATACTTACCTACCTTTCTATCTATCCATCCATGCACGCATCTATCTATATCTATCTATCAATATCCTTATCTATCCCTAACTACCATTCTATGAATCCACTTATCTATTTACCTACCTACCTTTCTATCTATCCATCCGTCCACCTACCTATCCATCTAGCTATCCATTTAGCTCTCATCTGTCTTTAACCCTATCTATCTCTAACTACCTATCTATCCATCCATTTATCTATCCACTGACCTATCTATCTATCCATCCAACATCTATCTATCTAGGTCCCTCTCTCTAACTACCTATCTATCTATCCATCTGTCCATCCATTTATCTATCTATCCATGTTAGCTCTATAAAGAGTCATGGAAAATACATATAGTCCAGTTCCTCTCATTTCAAAAACGAGACAAGGGAAACTCAGAAAAGTTAAATGGTGTCTAGAGGTCACCTGGTGTGACATTATAGGATAAACAAACGACCTCAAGGTCGGTTTGAACCACAAGGTTGGTAGTTCAAACTCACCAGACTTTCCTCGGAAACCCTGTACAGGATTGCTATGAGTTGGAACCAACTCAACAGCACTTCACAACAACAACAACAACAACAGAGATCACATAGTCAGTAAGGGATGAGACACCAGTTCCAAGTACATTGTACTTTTCCAACCCACTCCACACTCTCCCCAAGCCCAAATGTTCTAATATGGAAATAACAGATTGTGAATACTAAAGAATTTTGAAGAAACTATAAAGATAAGTGCTGTAGGCTCTCAAATAAAAGCAGAGAGGCATAAAGATGGGTCAAAATTAGAAGCCAAGTAGAGTTAAACAAACTTCAAATGAACTAAAACCAATGAACCAAAACCTATCATTACACTTCTATGGATTTTATTTTAACTACACATTTAGTAGAAAGAACAGGTAATAGAGCCTTCATTAAAAGCAATAACCACCACCAGTCCTCCATAGTTGAAAACAAAGACCTTCATTTCAATACCAATCTAGACCATGAGAAATGATAACCCCTAAGTCATTGAGAAACCTTTCATTATGCCCAGCACACCTATTTACAGAAAGGTAGGAGAAGGGACTTAGGAGGTTGTGTGAGACTTTCAACAACAGAAGATTGTGTAACTGATGTAGAACTAGCTGGACCCTGCCCTCCATCTCTGAACACCCAGGTGGCTACGGGTTTCCCGGATGTTCCAACATGGCGGAGAGGTGGGTCTCATGGCTCACCTATCGTTATGTTCCCGAAGCCCAGGGTGATGAGCCGTTCCTTGTGCTCATTCAGTTGATGCTTTGATTCGTTCAGGACGCTGTTGGCCCAGAGAAGCAGGTTTGTGAACACCGAGTGGATCACCCCAAACCTGAAAAACACAAGGACCCACACACCAATTGTTCCCTGCAGCACTTTGATGCCTGTTGGCAGTTGAATGGATAAATAAGATGGGATGCACACACACAATGGAAAGCTACTCAGCCAATAGGAGAAATGAGGTACTGATGCAAGCCGCCACATGGAGGAACCTGGAGAACATCCTGCTGAGCAACATCAGTCTGTCGCAGAAGGATGAATACTGCACGGCTCACTTATAGGAAATGAGCAGACAGATTGCTATCAAAGCTTATTCGTGGTTACAAGGGTGAGGCGATGGGGGTAAGAGAGAGGTTTTGCTAATGGTGATGGAATGATATAAGAAATAATAATGGTTATACAACATGAATAACATAATCATTGTCACTGAAGAATACATGCAAAAATAGTTGGATTGGGAAAAATGTATAAAGAAATAAAGAAAAGGAGAGCAAGGGTTCATTGTTGGGCGGTTCATCAGTCTGCCCTGGTCAAGTGCCAAAGTTCAATCACACACACACAGAGACACCACCGTCTCAGCCATGAATTTGGTTTAACCTGGCAGATGAGGCTCTGGGTGGGTCCCCTGTCTGGCTGGGAAGGACAGTTCCATGGGAACTTCCAAAACCACAGAGTCTTGGCATCTGCATTAATTTTGAACTTGCCAGTGGCTAACCATTATCAACCAACCAAACATCAGTGAAACTGGCTGTTGGAAGCAGGATTACAGGAATTGAAATGTACTAAAAGTAGGCAGTACCAACCCACCATGCCTCAATATCTTCCAGCAGTGAGAGGAGTGACTAGAACAAAGTGAATGGATGAAATCCTGTGCAGCTAGCCCTGGCCACAGTGGCCAGGGGTATGTAAGGTGACATCTACTAAGCACTGCTGAAAGTATTTGCGTCTTCATAAAACAATGAAAGGACCTTACTAACTGCCCCTTTTCCACCTTTTTTTCTGCTATGAATGTAAACAGTGAAGGCTGGAGTTGTGGCAGCCATCTTGCCACCATGAGGCAACCAGTATGGGCTGAAACTGCAACCCACTGAAGGTGACAGCGTGGAAACTTAGAAAGAACCGGCTCTGTGACAACATTATTGAGCTAGGGTCAGCACTGGACTGTGAATCACAAGACTGTCAGTTCAAACCCACCAACTGCTCCTCAGAGATCTCATATAGGGCTGCTATACGTTAGAACTGCCAACACTCAACACATAACAACAACATATGCTTGCATCAGCTCAGGAGTTCATCTATGGTCACATACAAATAGTCTCGCTGGGGTTTGAAGAGTTTGTAAGTGGCTGAGCTGTTCTAATCTGACTCCAGAGACCATACTGCCACCTAAGGAAGAGGAAGGCAGAAAGGGGGGCGGGGATGATGATGTGAAAGGTAGATGCTGGTTTGAGGAACAGAGGAGAGAACTGTGGGGAATGTGGCTCTGATTAGTCACCCCCGTGCTTCTGAACCTCTCTATCTCCCCATGCCCGAAGGTGTAAGACAGCTTGTCCTCCTTCATTTCTAGGGAATTTAACACTGTGGCTTGCATGCTGTTGTTAAGTGCCGTTAAGTCGGTTCCAACACATAGCGACCCAGCATAGGGTTTCCAAGGAGCAGCTGGTGTGTTTGAACCACCAACCTTGTGATTCGCAGTCCAGTCAGTGACGATCCACACCAGAAGTCCTTGCATGTAGTAGGTGCAGCAAATACCTACGGATTGGGGAGAGGCCTTCCTTCGATCCTTCAAATCTTACAAACTTCCAGAGCAGAGGCACAAAGAAAGCATGGTCCCTCCATCTCTAACCACAAGCAAGACTTCCGTTATCTATCTGTCTGCAACCTTGACCTCTGGGGAATGCCTGGGTGGCTTAAACAGTTAACCCACACAGAGTAGACAGAGATGGGCAACTTGGGCATTGGATACCCAAATTGGGGGTGGGGGGGGAACTACAAAGGCAAGAAGTAACTGGCTTACAAGCTTTCAAGAGGGAACCTAGAGCTAGGGGGCATGGAGGAAGGCAGAATCTCC